GTGGATGGAGTTATTTGGGGTTCTGGACCAAAAACAAAAGAAATAAAAATGGTGGGGTGCCTACCTGTCGACATAAATATATCCCGATCCATATCACGATGTATAACCCATCCTGGTTGACCTGTTGGCGCCTACCGTCGGCTGGTCGGCAGCCGACGGGTCCGGGGCCACTGACGGTCGGCGTGACTACCAATTACTGAAAAACGTATGAGATCAGTACCCCTCTATACTGGATAATTGGTAGAAAGCGCGCACGTAAAAAAACCTTTCCCGTTTTGGGTGTCCGAAACTCGGCCATTTGGTACTACCGGCCCAATGTTTTCCATGTGGGGTACTACAGGCCCACGTGTCGCTCCAAGGACCCTACCGCATCATGAATCTGGCGTATACAACAGCGGCAGATTCATTTTAATGTCGAAGAGGCCTAGGGCGGTTTCCCTGAAGGATAGAATGAGCCCCCTAGGGTAGTTTAAAAAAGAATGGTCCTACCGGTTCATCACTCTGGTGCAAAAACAGCGCCAATTTCTTGAACCGGTAAAAACAGGCCCAGGGAGATGTGGCCACGGCGCCAAGGCGCCTTTCACCCAGGCTGAAGACGTTTGGGCCCCTAGTACCGAAAAGCCGAGTTTCGGGCGCCCAAAACAGGGAAAAAGGTTTTGGCGTGGGCTCTTTCTACCAATTATCCTCCTCGATGCGGCCCACTGTTATACCCATGACGGCTGATAACCGACCTGAGTTCGACTCCCAATGAACGAAATGGAATCAGATGACTGAAATTACTGAAATTACTTTGAGTGACCTGGGGCCGAATTCGTCCGCTGAACTTTTTTTTCTTTTTTCTTCTTTTTTTGAAGGCCCAACCAATTCAATGACCTGTCGTTCAGGCCTTTTTTTATTGTCATTATAGTATTGCGGGGAACCCCGTAGCAGCCAGATCTCGCAGCAGCCTCGATAGGAAGCCTCCATGAACCCGCGGGCCAAGCTCAGGGCATAGTCACATTAGTAGCACTTCCCAAAATGCATCTGACAGCAATTACGGCCAGAGCAGCCCAAACCTAACAGCTGTAGCACTTTCCAAAATGCATCTGACCACAATTACGGCCAGAACAGCACAGACCTAACTGCAATCCCGCCCACAGCGTTGACGAAAAAGTCCTAGTGTGAGTATGCCCTCCGTTGGTGCACTCATCAAGACCAGTTGAAATGCGAACCTGACGACAGCATACTCACACTAGCACTTTTCTCAGTGTATCTGATGGCAATTACGGCAGAACGTGGATGCATCTGGTTGCAATCAGGTCCAGAGCGTAGACGAAAAAATGCTCGTGGGAGTATGCGCTGAGTTCGGTTCCATATCAAGAAGAACCAAACCGCCTGGATCACCACAGTCCTACACTTCACCACACCATTCTTTCGGTAGGAGAGGCAGACGGTGTGTACGACGGGCAGGGAGGTATTAATCAGTGCGACTTACTAGCCAATGGTTTTCTGCCAGTTGGACTTTCAAGACTACGGCCCTCTGCGGCTCTTTCTGCCGATAACTTGTGATTCTTCAATACTCTTCTTCGAGCCGATTTTCGCTTGTTTTTTTTCTTCTTCTTCTTCTTCTTCTCTCTCTCTCTCTCTCTCTCTCTCTCTCTCTCTCTCTCTCTCTCTCTCTCTCTCTCTCTCTCTCTCTGTGAGAGACTCTCTCTCTCTCTCTCTCTCTCTCTGAGACTCTCTCTCTCTCTGAGACTCTCTCTCTCTCTCTCTCTCTCTCTCTCTCTCTCCCCCCTCTTTGTCCTTACATGAGTGATTGACGAGTTCTTTCTCTCACCTCTTGTATGTTGGACGCTGTTAGAAAATCTCTTTATTTGAACGCAATATCAGAGAGGAAGATCGGTCTAGCAGTCTGCCTGCATCTTGATTGGTTGGTTCTTTTGCTTGTATCGCTTGCGATCATGGCATCGATAGTCACTCGCATTCGTCGACGATTGGCGTGCTCGAGCAGCAGGGACGAGACTCGATCTCAATCGCACAGTGAAGCTGAGACTGAACCGCTTCAGACTGACTTTGAGGCTGAACTGCCTCAGACGGAGCAGCGTGTCACAATCCGCTGGTTGAAAGAGTTCGATTTGAGGACCTTATCGACGGCGACGGGCAATTTCGACCCATCTAGCAAGATCTACAGATCGGGGGGAAGCGCCTTCGGCCACTGCTACTGGGGACTCCTTGCGGGCGAGGGTTCAAGTCCAAGGCCGGTCGCTGTGAATGTCATGAGCGGGGAACTGACAGCGATAAAGGAGAGGCAATTCCGCACCGAGGTAGCGAGTCTCAGCCGTCTCCATCATGCCAATATATGTGGCTTGATTGGATACTGCCGGGAAGAGGGTATGCGCATGTTGGTCCATCCTTACGCAACGGGAGGGACCTTGTACGCCAGACTCCATTCACCGATCGAAGATCGAGCAAGCGAAACACCAGCACCTACCGGAGCAGGCGCCACAGACAACCCTCTCCCTCCTCCTCCTCCTCCTCCTCCTCCTCCTCCTCCTCCTCCTCCTCCTCCTCCTCTCACACTGGAGGAGCGTGTCGTGGTCGCCTTACAGATCGCCAAAGCTCTTCGTTACCTTCATCACGAGGCTGATCCGCCGGTTATCCATCGGGATGTAAAGAGCTCAAACGTGTTGTTGGGAGAGGGAGGTGGAACGACGCTGAAGGCATTCTTAACGGACTTCGGTATAGCTATAGAGGTGGAGGGGTACTCGGACGTGCTCGACGACGTGATGGCTGGAACGATGGGGTACATGGCTCCCGAATACTTCACACAGTTTAAGCTGACAAGGAAGGAGGACGTGTACGGCTTTGGAGTTGTTTTATTGGAAATGCTCACTGGGCAAAAAGCGGTTGTTCTCGATCCGATAGAGTCCAGAATGGTAACCCTGGTTGAGCAGCAGCGCAAAAACCTAGACGAGGTGTATAACGTCGATCTGAACCACGTCGTTGATCCTTCTATTAGAGGGGAAATGGATAATCCTTCGATGAGGGGAATGGCGAGAGATATGTTACGGGTTGCAGCTGATTGTGTAAATCCAGACGAGAGGCTGAGGGCAGACAGCAACATGACAGCTTACAGTATAGAGATGATTCTGAAGGAGGCCGGAATAACCCTAGAAGGCTAGGAGTGAGGGAATAACCCTATAGGAGGATATTAGGTGTCCGTTGGATAAATAGCTAAATTAATCTCAAAATCAATCCGTTGGGAATTATAAGGCGAGGAGGATCAGTCTATTCTCCGTTGTCTGGAGTGCTAATTAATCGTTTAGGGTTTTTCTTTAGTGTCATAGAAGGGTTACGCACGCACATCTTGCAGTGTATAAAGATTCTATTCTAGACTGTAGTTACTATAGTAAAAAATAGTGTTTCACCGCTGATTATAGAGTTCTAGGGTGAAGAGTATAGCGCTGACCTCGGTGGAAATTGCTATAGGCGAGGCACCGAGACGTAAATTTTTTTGTGAATCGCGTTCCATGAAGTAATATCAGATCAGATTATAATTTTAGGCCGATCTTTCTTGTCACTATATTTTCACATTTTTCAAAAATTTGGAACATAAATAAATGGCGTATAATGCTGCAGACTGAAGTATAATTTTAACATACTTGCCATTCTGCTGGTTGTAGGGCAACGGCTGTATCGTTACCCTCGGATAGACGGCTATAGGGCGGCAGCCAACAAGACCCAAGTTTGAGTGAATCGTGTGCAATGTATATATCGTCAAACAGAACTGCCTCTATTAGATTGTATCATGTTATGAAATAAGTACACCACTTTATGAAATAAGTACACCAATCTTATTGAAAAAAAAAATGAAAAGAAAGTACACCAATCTTGTGGTAATTATTAAAAATTATTTTCGACAATTTATATAGGTGAACTGTACGGTAAAAATGGCCAAATCAGGAAACAAACTACATATCGCAGTTTCTTTTGTGCGTCTGACTCGCAGTCTCTTTTGTGCGTCTGACGCGTGTTTAACAGTGTTTTTTTTTCTTTTCTTTTCTTTTCTTTCTTTTTGTCTCTGACAGATTCGCAGTCGTCATAATCAATGGCTGATGGTGGGGTGTGTGTGCTGCTCACCATCTTCCCAACAGAATAGAACTCCCGGTTATTATAGCTGTATTTGGCGCAGCTATTAGTCCAGATGCAGCGGTGAAGACCGGGCACTGTATTCGGGTAAGGACGGTAGCACTGCGGTGCTATGCTCACAGCAACAAGGAGAGAGGACTGAATCGCGTCAAATGCTGCCTTTTCTGTTTAAGTACCTTCTTCTTGGGCACGTGCTGCTGTACACAGGTTCTCAAATCGCTTCATATGTTGCCTTTTCTACTTTTTCAACCTCCTTCTTCTTCTTCTTCTTCTTCTTCTTCTTCTTCTTCTTCTTCTTCTTTTTTTTTTTGGCACCAGATGTTCCTTTTTAGCCGGGTGTGAATACTCAGAGAGAGTTCAGGGATGTTTCAAGGGCAGTCAGAACGGGCGTGAATCAGGCGGTTAATGACCGTTAACCCTTACCCTGGGGGATTAATAAAAAATGCCGCCGTTGTGTGAGTGGCCATTAAGCAGGGGAGAGTAGAGTGAGCAATCGGCCGATTTTCTTGTTTTTTTTTTTTGGGGGGGGGGGGGGGGGGCGGCGGCGTTTTGTGAGCAATTGATGGAAGGCCGGTTTTCGACAAGTGATATGTAAATATGTATGTTTTCGTTGTACTATGAAAACTAATAATCCCCCCCCACACCACCTCAAAAAAAAAAAAAAAAAAAAAAAAAAAGAGTGCTCTCAAGAGGATACAGTGAGTAGTGTGTGTGAGTGAAATTCAATGGTGAGAGAACGCTCACGGTTTGGGTGTTGGCACGAGAGAGAGAGAGAGGAAATGACGAAGAGTGTGAGTAAACGGAGTGAGAGGAGCAACAGGTACGGATGAATCTGTACGTGTTTGTGGAGATGTGCAGAAATGACGTGATGGAGGTGACTTCCGACTCCCTAGAGCATTCTCCCACTAGGACTTTTTATTGTTTGCTTTTTGGTTAATCTTAAATAAAGGGCGACGGCCTTTAGATATCGGCATGATAATGGATTCCTTGCTTTTTCCCAAAAAAATAAAAATAAAAAAATAAAATAAAAAAAAATGGGCATTGAGCTGACCGGCCCCAAGTAAATTAAATTCAGAACGATTTTATTCTGGTCATCTGATTGTATCTGGACTCGAACATGGGTCTGATTCATATTTCAACAGTTAAGGGGGACTGTACCAACTGAGTTATGCCCATTGGTTCTCACACTAGGACTCACTCGACTGCTCTGTGTACATTCATGACGCTCAGATCAGAGTCAGGGCATACTCACACTAGCACGTTTTTACATTTTTCGGGACGTAATTGCGGCCAGATGCATACGCGTTCGGCCGGAAATGCGGTCAGATGATAGTGCTAGTGTAAGTATGCCCTCAGATGCGTCCTCGGCGAGCTGTGTTTGCAGTCAGATACATCCAGGACTTCTACTCTGAACAACGGCCTTATTTTGAAATGGATAAGCTCTGCTGACATGGCTTACCGGTCTTGAGCCACTCGTTGCTCACAAGAGCAGAGAAGCATGGACTTCAACCTCTCGCACCAACACACCCTGTCTTTCACGGGGGCTTGCTTGCTGAGGGGCCCTCGGCGGCCCACCCTTGGCTTCGGTCTGCCCTCGGTTGGGAGGTTGCTGGGTTTAGTGCCGAGGATGGCAGTGAGTGGATGGTGTGTGTTTTTTCATTTATGGGGTGTCTTTGCGTTTTCCTCAACTGCTGGGGCAGCGAAAGGCTCTCGATGTTATCTCTGCTGCCCTTTTGTTGTGCAACACGGCTTATACCACCGATTGGGTAGCGTAGGGTAGGGTAGGGTGTAGGGGGCTTGACATGGCGGGGGGCATGCCAGTGAGGTGGGCAGGGGGGCCCAAGGGGGGACAGGGTTGGAGGGAAAAGGGGTTGGATATGGGGGAAACGAAAGAGGGGGATTGGTGACAGGCACGGGCAGCGGGAAATAAGAAAATTTGCTGCCTTTTCGCTGTGGACAACTGCGTATCATCCTTTTTGTTTTTCTTTTTTTCTTTCTTTTTTTTTTGGGAAAGCATCTTAGGAGGTCCAACCCTTGGAGGTGATATAACCATACCCCAAGGGAGGGCTCCCACTGTTTTGTAATGGCTCCAGTGTGTTGCTGCGGAGTTGCACCTGCTGAAAACCGGCTCCATCATCCCTTTTGCATCATCTGTAGTCTGGTTTGATCTTCAATACGGCTAAGTCATTCCCTTTGGCATCATCTTGTAGACTTCCACCTGAGATACCAGTCAGAGTCTTGGGGATTTCCATCTCTTTTTTTTTTTCTTTTTTTTTTTTTTAATGGGAACAAAGCTCCGTGGGGAGCAACACGTGCTGGGAACCGGGCCCAGCGTCCCATATAGAAAATTACATAGGATTTTGAAAAAGTTTTGAGAATTTGCAGTACCAGGGCCACTACCTTGCTTTGGCTAAGGGCTAGATTAAGAGATACAAACAAGCTACCGAAAATAAGCCAAAATTCAGGAACAGACTCAGGGAGAGTGAGTGGTTGTTTGTTTGTGCAGTCCTTACTAATGTTCTCTGGTTCTGGATCCTTGGTAGTATTTAGCCCTTACTTGCAACCGGGGTGTAGGAGTTCAGAGTGGGTCACAACGGGACTGACATCCGCATAGCTTTTTTGTTCTGTGCCCCTGTTTTGCCGATGCCAGAACGACGCTGGCCGGAGCTGGGGCGTCGCCCTGTGACCTGCAATCCGCAGGAGTATGAGGCCTTGTAGAGAGATCTGGGGGTTGCCGAGGGTGGAAGGCAAGCCAGTGGCGAATCGGGGGGGGCTGCCTAGTGGCGAGAAGAGATCAGCTATGGGTGATGTTAGTATGGTTGGTACTGTCCCTGAGTAAGTATGTCCAGGGGAAAGGAAGGCTAGGAATTACCTTAGGAGTCTAGATCTAAAGGTCTGCTGTTTTGCTTGGTTACCAACAAGGGTCTTAAGAGTGTTTTAGGAATCTGGGGACTTCTAATAACCCAGCTTAGATGATTCAGTACTGATGTATTCAGTGACCTGCGGAGTGTTTGATGCCAGAACGACGCTGGCCGGTGCTGGGGCATTGCCCTGTAACCTGCGGATGCAGGAGTGTGAGGCTGGGTAGAGAGATCTGGGGATGCTTTGGGGGGGCATGCTAAGGGACAACCAAGGGTTGCTGCTGAGACAACGCTGGTCGGAGTTGGGGTGAGTCGTGTCACCCTGTAACCCAGCAGGGTGGGGGTGCGACACCTGGAAAAGCTCAGCAGTGAGTTTTGTCAGTGTTGGAAAACTCAGATGGGTTGCTAGGGGTTCGTAGATTTCTGAGCATTAGTGGACTTCTGTGGTGGCGTTTTCAGTTGTAGCAGACGGATTTCCCTGAAGTTTGTCAAAGTAAATTTCTGAGTAGCCTAGAAGTTTTCATAACCAAAGCCGGGTAATAGCTCCGGCACCTTTAAAACTTTCAGATTCTACGTTTTTCATCATTATGATTTTGGTCATCATCATAAGGGACGCTGAGCCCGGTTCTCAGCAATCTCGGTTTTGTTACTCTGGGTAGACTGTGAGGACCCCGGCCTCAATATCTTTCATTACTAAAAAAAAAAAAAAAAAAAAAAAAAAAAAGAAAGACTCAGACCCCCCTCCATCCTCATTACCTCACTCCGGCAAGTCTTACTGCAGCAGAGCCACTATCTCTGCTGCTGCTGTACCCTATTACAATCCTACCAGCTAGCCCCCTCGCTAGTAGGACGCTTGATATCCACCCTTCTTTCCCCATTCACCTAGGCAAAATTTCAAGAAACGTCTCGAAGACCCCCATCCATCCTCTTTACCTCACTCTGGCAAGACTTTCTGCAGCAGAGCCGCCATCTCTGCTGCTGCTATACCCTATTTTCATCCTACCAGCTAACCCCTTCACTGCTAGGACACTTGATATCCCGCCATCAACTTCCAACACCAACCATTTTTTTTTTTTATGCAACATAAAAATTGAGATGCCGGGGCCATTACCCGGCATTGGCTAAGAAAAATTTGAGTTACTTAACAAGTTACTACGTCAGACTTCAGAAAATTTCAGGAAACCGACTCAAACCTCCTCATCAAACCTCTTTACCACACTCCGGCAAGACTCACT